CCAGAGCCTGATAAATCAAGCAATATATCGCCACAGAAAGTATTGCATGCATGCACATATTTCTGCAGTGCAAGCATGAGGAAAAGGCATGTGCATGATTCATGCATGCATGCTTGCAAGTATATACAGCGGTGACTTCAAGACTCGCATGCAGGGCACACTGCTCGCATGCAGACATGCACTCATGAAAGAGACTCGCATGCAGGGCACCTTGCTCGCATGCATTTTTTTCGGCTAGCGGCTAGACCAAAACGATCGCTTTGCCATCCTTCTCCGAATAGATGCAGCACGATTTGATGCTGTCCGTTGTCGTGATAAAGGGGTCGAGGTCTGTGCATTCAAACATGTGCTCGTACACATGCTTCCATGGGGTGACACAAGTCCAGACTTGGCCTGCAGCTTGGAAGTGAAACTGCACTAGACCCACAGTCGTAGCATCCAAAGCGACGATATCACCTTTTGTGCAAACGAACCCGCCGGCATGCATGGCCCGCAAATCATGCAAAATGGGCCCCGTTGCAAATGGCATGACCTGGCCCACGAGATCAACGAGCTTCTTCGGGGCCGGCTTGGGGTTCATAAGCCGCACCTTTGAGGATGGAAGCTCTGCAGATATGCAGTTCAACTGCACTGCCAAGACATCCTTCAGGACACTCTCCTCGAAGCCCCTGGAGCCATCCAGCTTTTGGTTCGCAAACCGCTTGACGACTTTGTGTTTTCGCTCGTGGGTGAAGCACCACACCAAGTGGCCAAACTTTGCAAGAAATTCACCTAGATGAAGTGACATATGGTTCTTTGGAACCCATATATCTTGGCCATAGGTCTCTAGCAAGCAGTTCGAATGTTTCACGATCGTGTCGTGAAGGACCGCCGGGTCAACAGCACGTCCTCGCACAGCATCATGAAGCATGTCTACGACCTTGCACAGCATCAGGAAGCACATGCATGCCTGGACCGTGCCCGGGCTGATCGCTGTTGTCATGACAAACTTCAAGATAAAGATTCGCAAAACAGGAAGAGCATTGAGGAGCTCAGAAGCCTCAGCCTTCACAGGAGATGTTTTCTTTTCCCGTTTTGCAAAAACTCTTTTTGCATCGGGTGAAGCGAACTGCTTCGGCCACCGAAAGCTGGACACAAAATCCATGAGTCGATCCTCGCCGAAACCTGCATCGCGAAGCTCGGCAAAGAAGCAGCCCAATTCATTTCCAACGATGCCATGGACGAGGTAGATGTGAAAAAAATCGAACATTATGGCCTCAGGCACCTTGTGTCCTATGATGTCATCCATGAGCAACCCGTGCACTCGCAGATTGAATCCCAGGGCTGTTTCCAAGGCCTCGAACTGTGCTTTGCTAACAGTGCCATGCTGTGCATCCAAGAATGCCAGGAAATCCCGAGTCGTGGCATTGGTGTGTAAACGAAATTTCGAATAATCAGTGCACAAGCTGGACACGAACTCAGATCGCATGTCACTCACCGTGCTTCTGGCAGCAACGACATTGCTGCATCGGCAGCAGAAGACGGTGCCTGAGGCACCTTTTCCCTCGATGGACTGCTTAATGGCCGCTTCATCTGCGACTAAGATCTTCAAGTCCAAGAAGATGGGGAAATGGTCTCCTTCCGGAGTGTCCACCACCATGCCTTTTCGCATGTCGTGATCTGTGAAAAACAGTCGAAGCATGAGTCGCCACAAACACGTCAACCCGCCGATGGAAGAACAATGGTGCGACCGTAGGCAGGTCAGTGGAAACCATAATGCCTCAGACGCCAAACCGCGACTTCCAAGTTCGGATATACTCCAGTATATACATTGGATTTTGCGGGAATTGTTGGCTTTGAGTGTGTTGCCAGGGGTCACTTCATCAGCATAGAAAATGAGACCCCATGGCCGAGCATAGGATGGTGTCTCCTTGTGTGGCAACACCTCCTGTCGCAGAAATTCCCACAACGGAGCAAGACTGAAGATGTGCTTCAGGAAGGCAGCCGGGTGGATGTATGGCACCGTCACCGTCTTGTTGCACTGGCCCTCCACCGGGACCTCCATCTTCTGCACCAAGGGCCCATAAACACCGGTAAGAGATGCAAGGTCCTCCTCCCGAGCTCGCTTGATGGAGCTTCTGGAAGATGTAACGTCGTCGGCAAGCAACCCAGACTTCTTTAAGTCTGTCAACACACTCTCTATGCCGTGTTGTGACACATATGCCTTGCGGCCCAACATAGCCAACGGAGCCTTGGAGCTGCTTGCAGTCTCAGTCATGATGATTCAGGAGAGGTGCTCGACGAGTCAGTTCGTGAAAATGGAAGAAACCCTGACCACGAGCAAGTGCCCTGCAGTCGAGCAATGGCTGGATGCATCCGTGGTACCGGATGACTGTCTGTATATAGTCTGAACTTGTGCATGAGAACCATGTCTGAACATGAAGCATCTATATACATATGTGTATAAATTTACGATACGTAAAAGCAATATATACCTATATAAACCCATATATAGATACCATATAGTACATACGAGGGAAAACCCTTTATATATAAGCCGACAGACCTATATATATATATATATATATACATCCCCTATAGATAATATATAAACCTATATAACCGTAAACCCTAAAACCCTATAACCCTGAAAACCCTATGTATTTATAAACCTGAACCTACAGTGTATATATTATATATTTATGAACCTATATATGCACATGGCATGCATGCCTCAGCACTTGGAGCCTGCACACACTGCAGGCACAACACACACACACACACACACACACACACTCGCCTGCCAACATACACATCCGGAAGAAGCTGGCAGCACGGGCTTCACACATGGTTGCATGGCATTCATGCATGATGCAAGGAAAGCTCGCGAGCAGCTTTTGCCGACTTTCCTCAAAATCCTGTCGCGATGGAGTGCATTTAGCGAAAGCAGGGGCTTCAGACATGGCATTGCATGATGCATGATGCATGGAAAGCTCGCGAGTATAGCTTCTGCCGAGAATCCTCAAAATCCTGTCGCGATGGAGTGCGATGGAGTGCATTTAGCGAAAGCACGACGGAGTGCAGCCAGGGCTTCGTCGGCATTTGGGGCAACCAAAAGGCCGGTAGGGCTTTCGGGCTTCTTTGCTCATCGTTTGCATCACCTCCTTCGAGGGCATGGCCTTGGCCTTCGCATGCGACTTGGCTTTGGCCTTCGGCTGCGATTTGGCTTTGGCCTTCGGCTGCGATTTGGCCTTGGCCTTCGCCTTTGATTTGGCCTTGGCCTTCGGATTCCCGTGCCCCACTGCGGCATCGGCAGCAGACGGCTTCTTCATGGCCGGGCCCTTGTCCGATTCCAGCTTGCGACTCTCCCATGCCGCCAGCATTGCATTAGCTTGCTCGGCTGGTTGCAGGGGCGGCTTATTCTGGTCGTTGGTGGTCTCGGACTGCAGCCCCCAGTTCTCAATCTGCTGCTGTTGCCCATGCGGATCTGATTGATGTCCTTGCGGCTCCGATCGATGTCCTTGCCCCGCCTGGTTGGAAGGAACGATCTGTGCATCGGTCGGCTTTCCCTGACTCTGATGTCCTGCAGGCTGCCCCGGTTGATTGAACAGAACGAGGTTCGGCAAGCCTTGGGACTTCGGGGTTGGCGGTGCCATCCACTGCTGCTGCATATGATTGTATGCCTGCATCATCTGCTGCATCGTCATAAACTGCTGCCCATGACTCGGCAACAGCGGCACATGACTCGGCAACATATGACTCGGGAACATGCCCGGCTGATGCTGCCACGAGCTGGCAGAAGTGGAAGGCGAAACACTCTTGTGCGACTTCCTCACGGGTCCAGTGATGCCCACTGGGCCACTTCGCACCGAAGCCTGAGGGCTGTCTTTGAAGCAACGTTCGGCCAGGTCCTTTGGCAACTGGTCGGGAGTGCTGAATGTCTGGACATGCACTGAAGCAGGCAGCATCTTCTTCACATGTCCTTTCAATGCCGCCTTAAAGTCTTGAACAGACTTCAAGAACTCGCCCGGCTCCCCCAATTCTGCTACCTGCATGTGTTGCTTGAGGAAGCTGATGGCCCTCCCGCATGACTGCTCGGTTGGGTTGCTGCACCCCACTCGAGAGAACACCATGCTCAGCCGTGTGACCTTTGCGAGAACGTTCAGATCGGGATTGCTCAGGCAACTGACATCGTCTTCCGAGAGGAACGGAGCAACATCAGGCAGTTCTTGAGTGCATTTCTTCGTCCTCTTGCTAGCAGCTGCTTTTGCAATCTTCTCGGATACGATGGTGATCAGCTGATCTTTTTGCCCCGGGGAGAAAGGGGAGTCGGCGATGGTCTTCATGAGGGGTTCCATGTCTTCGTTGCCCAAGTCCATCGCCTTGAGCTGCTGCTCCAAGCTGTGAAGCTGTGCCGTCAAGACATGTTGGCGAGCCGTGTCATCCTGGAGGGTCCCGATGATGGCTTTCACCGCCGCAAATTGCTGCATCATCTTCGCTGGCGACAGCGGATCTTCACTATCGTGCTAGACAACGTGATATGTCCTGAGAACCACAACATGAGTACATGCATCATGTGTGCAAAGGTGTTGTGTGAATGTCCATCTTGTGAATGCATCAATGAGCATGCAGGACAGCATGCAAGCGACTGCATGCAGGCTTTCTTTTTTCAACATGTATTCCATGAAACTTCGCCATGCTTCTGCATGGGCATCAAAACTGTGCCAGATGCTTGTGCAATGCTTCTGCATGGGCATCAAAACTGTGCCAGATGCTTGTGCAAAGCCACGAACCTCGGGTCGGTGTTGCCGATGATCCTCTACTTCGGCAGCCGCCGCTCGAAACTCGCCTTGCTGCTGTTCGCATTCGCCAGATCTCCCGTGGATCGCATGATCTCTTGCTCTGCATGCTGAAGCTCTTTGGCCAGACAACCCGGCCGGAGAGCATTGCCCGAGTGGTTCGGATCCACACACTGGGCGACTATATAATAGCTAGAAACTATATATAATAGGCACCCTGTCTTGAGGACCACAACATGAATATATGCATCATGTGTGCAAAGGTGTTGTGCGAAAGTCTGTATGTTGTGAATGCATGCATGAGCAGGACGAGCGACTGCATGATTTCTTTTTCAACCGATGCAGCTTCTTGTGCATGTGCCACACGAAACAAAACTCAAATCAGAGTGCATGGGCACAGTAAACAACACTGAAATCAAAATGGGGCCATATGCCTCCCTAGAGCCAGGTAGCGAGGGTCGGTCTTTCCGACCATTCGCCTTTTAGGCAACTGCTTCTGGTATTGCGACTTCTTCACATGTGGGGACCACAGCTTCGCCGTCTTGCTCAGGATGCGTGTGTGTCCCATGAAGACCACCTTGTTGGTCGATCTGATGATATTCTGCCGCAACAAAACGGTTCTGACTCTCGCCGAGACAGTATTCATCCTGATGTCAAGGGTGGCCAGTTGTCTCCCTTTCCATGCCACTCGGCCCGACAGCATGGTGCCCTGAAGCCAGACAAATCCGTCCTCGAGGCGGGCTTGAAGGTTGATGTAGAGGGTGCCAGCAGGGGCCGGGCGAATGATCATGGGTCTCACGTTGCCGTTCTGTATGGCCCGCCATAGACTCCCATCCTGATTCGCCAACGGTCGAATCATGTGGCAGTGCCATCCACGAAATGAGATCACGTCATAACCCTGGGTGAGTCTGTAGTTCGACACATAACTCAAAGCCTCAAACTGGCCATTGTGAGGAAAGTCGCCAGAAGACCACTTATCAACGAAGGCAGCCTCGTGTGTTCGGATGTCGGGGTGCAACACTTGATGCACTGCCATGATGGATGCGGGTTGTGGCAACTGGCTCGTGACGTGCTCTGCTCGGCAACTCAAAACCTGCGGCAATGCATGACATGTCTGCTCACGAGCACTGCCCTGCGAGCGAATGGTGCATGCTCGTGCATGCACAAGCACACATCTGTGATTGACGTGCATGGCTGTCGATCATGCAGGGAATATACTTCCGTGTCATGTCACGTGCTGCCCTCCAAAGGAAAGGGCTCGGCGGTCGAGTTTGTTGGTTACGGTTGGCGGCTTTGGTTGTTTCTCTGTACCTTCTCTCACCGTCTCTGTCTCTTTCTGGCTGCAATGTATGCACACACTGCCGGGCTGGACCTGGCACCTTGCACATGCACACAAACATGCATGCAAATATCGCTCTCTCTTTCTGGCTGCACTGAATGCACACACTTCCGGATAGACGTGGCACCACCCCACCGCCCCGCCACCCCACTGCACCCCACCATGGGCTGCAGGCTTTTCGCTTGTGGTTTGGGTTGCTGTCTGCATGGGGTTTGGGATTTCGTATTGTGGGACTGTATATATATATATATATATATATACAGTGTTTTGGTGTTTCTGGGTTAGAAGTGTTTTGGTGTTTCTGTGTTTTCGTGCTTCCTGGTTGTGTGGCTTTGTTGTTTGGGGTGTTCGAGTTCTGGTGTTGTGGGCTGCCTCTGGCTTCTCTTTCGCTCTCTCTCTTTCTCTCTCTTGCACAGAACACATGGAAACTTCGCGAGGCTGGTACACACTCCCTGTCCCAAGGTGCACACAATCTCAGGTGCATGCAGCCGATGCAGCCAGCTTTTTTTCTTCCTTCTTCAAACAGTGTGTTCTGTACAAGAGGCAAAATGCCTGAGGTTCCGAACGGACAGCACACGGAAGCGAGGCAAAGGATGCCAGCCTAGAGGTTGCCAAGCTAGCTAGAGCCTAGGCACGAAGTTTATCAATCTATAAAGGGTTTTTAAAACCACAACCCAAACCATATCAATCTATAAAATCGCTGGCAATATGGAGCCCACAATTTATCAATTTATAAAGTTGTAGCCTAAAAACACAGACAACCATATCAATCTATAAACTTTCAGGGTCCAAGGCACACACAACCATATCAATCTATAAAGTTATGTGGTTCATGGACCCAAAACCATATCAATCTATAAAACCTGTGTTCTAGCCCCTATGCACTAGAACGGCCTACTTCCGAGTTTGCCCCGGATGTTCGGACCTTACATGAAGCCTTTTTCCTTTGGCCCCGCTGCCTGTGCCGTCAATTTCCTAGCTTCTTTGCCGCAGCCGGTGCACGAGAAACGGGCTTGGGTCTATGCTGCTGTGCTGTGTGCATGAGTCTGTGGCTGCTGTGTTCTGTGTGTCTATGGCTGCTGTGTTGTGTGAGTCTGTGGCTGCTTTGCCGTTCGTGGCTGCTGCTTTTCTACCTGACAACCTATAAGCCCTTAACCCTTTCTCATGCACTCGACCACAGCCTCGGACAGATTGTGCACGGATTCCCATGCCAGGTTCATGGGTCCTGCCATTGTGCACAACCATGCATGTCTTTCGCAATGTGTTGTTCACGTGCACTCCCCGGCCTTGACCGCGAGATCGTGGCCGCGATCGCCCTTCACCAGGCCTATGTGCCACGAGACATGCATCATGATCCGGTTGCCACGAAGTGCTGAGCCCCCAGCCCGTGCCATTGGCCAGTGGTGGGGTTCATCCACCACTCCCCAATCCTCCATCCTTTTCCATCCCACTTCGGCACCGGCCCATTGGCCACCGCCCCAGGCGGTGGGACCGGCCCATTGGCCACCGCCCCCGCCGGTGCAATGGGGGGGGGGGGGAGTCTGGGGCGCCGGTGGTGGTGGGGGAGGGGGGGCATGGCCTTTCCCACCCCCTGCAGGGGGTGGTGGTGGCGGTGGCCACCACTTCCTGGAGTCCTGTCAGGATTGGGTGTGTGTGTGTGTGTGTGTGTCGTGTGTCGTGTGTGTGTGTGTGTGTGTGTGTGTGTGTGTGTGTGTTTCGTGTGTGTGTGTGTGTGCTGTGTCTCGGTGTCTCGGTGTGTGTGTGTGTGCCTCTGTGTCTGTTTCTTTTTTTTTGTGTGTGTGTGTGTGTGTGTGTGTGTGTGCCTGTGTGCTTGTGTAGTGTGTGTGTGTGTGTGTGTCTCTCTGTGTTTGTGTGTCATGTTATCAGTGCACCCACGACATCATGCATCAGCGAATCAGGCCTTGGAAGAGGCTCCCCCCGATCCGGATGCCCTCTGCTCCTCACCACATGTTGCATGCATTCGTGCTTACAAACCACTGCACCCCATGCATGACCGCATCTCCTTGCCCTTCGGCGGATGCTCTGGCTCCCGGGGCTTTTTCGAAGTCTCCACCTGCGACAGCACATGCATATCACATTGTATCCAAGAATCTATCGCCCTAAACCCTATAAACCCCTATAACTATAACCCTTATAAACCCTAAACCCTTATAAACCCACGGACCCTTGCCTTCGGCATCTTTGTGGTCTGCCAACCCTGTCGGGTGAACACTAGAAATGTTATCCAAAATGAAGATGCTTGCGATCTTGGGCACCGGCTCCCTTTCGTGCCTTTTTGTTGCCACTGCCCTCCTGCAAACGGCAAAGGAGGAGTGGGTTAAACAAAGAAACAGAACATGCATTCTCCTCCGAAAGCAGCCACTTCCTCTTGGGCACCGTGGGCATTTTCTTCTCCTGCACCCAGAACTATATATAATTGTGTTATATATAGTTAGGGTACCGGGGCTTGGGTTTGGATTATATACTCAGATACACACACACAGAGACATGACACTCTCGTGTGCAGGGCGACAAGCTCGCATGCAGGGATCTACCAAGGCGGGATGGAAGCCTTCGGCTTCAGAACCACGGGGCCCATCTCCATCTCCACTTCCACATCCTGCCAAAACACATATAAGAAAGGTTCAATATAAGCGAGTATACATGCCGGCTCCTCGAAGCCTGAACTGTCTGATGCCTGCCAATCTGCATGCAAAAACAGGGCTCGACACTTCGCGGTTTTCGAGTTGGTGCCTCTGCAGCAGGCACCAAGTTGATCGGCTCCCGTGCCTGCATGCAGGGCTGAATTGAGTACTTCGTTATAAGCGATGGATTCGGCACCTCCGGCGGCTCTACATCGAAATCCCCCTGGCAACATGCATGCATGCCCTATATAAGCTTGGTGTTCCATGCAAGAGGTGTCCTCCAACCGCAGTGTGCTGGGGATCCACGTGTTGTCGAAGTCGAGGGCTTCCCAGCCTGCAGATACCGATATATATATATATATTCATATACGAAACTCCGAGCAAATGACCTTCCGGGGGTGGCTTCTCGGCACTTTTGTCCGGGTGCCGGAAGAGGCACATGCCTGCAAGGGATATTGTTCTAAAAAAGCAACACAATGAATTCCCAGACGGAAAGCCCGACCTCCGTCCTTGATCAGGATCCTCCACCCCTTGCCCTTGGTCCAGCGAAGCTCCCCGGACTGGCTGGTCCACATTCCCTGCAATTGTACAAGTATATACCGGCACTCAGCAAAGTGAAATACAACAAGCCTCCTCCGTCTCCTCCATGCCCCCCAGCAGCTCGACCTGCATGAAGGAGCTCCAGTCCACGGACTCCTGCAACAAAAAAT